TTGCATTTATATTTTTTTAATTTTGTCAAAAATGATGTGTAAGCCCGGGCTTTTTTGCTACATAGGTTGTTACGCACCTGTAAGTGCAACTACTCCTGAAAAATAATTGTTGGAATATTTTGTTTTCTGAGTTATGGCCCTTTAAAACTTTAAAACTCTGCTCCAGAAACCTAGAATGTGCAACTCCTCCATAACTGTTTGTTGGATCTTTTAGGTAACTTACCACAATCAAACATCATAGCATGACGAAAGGAATTTGAAATTTCACTATTTTCCCCTTAAAACATTCATTTCCACTGCAGAAACTCAGTAAATGCAAGCTGCATGTATATCTTTGGGAACCCTCTCAGTTTCTCAAATTTTTGAGAGAAAAAACAACAACTTTGATACATTCAAAAGTTTGACAATTAAATAAACGTTTTTCTGAATTAAAAATTTGAATTAAGATCATTTTTAATTAAGTGGGACACACTTTTCCGGTTGTTGTAGAATATAGGCCACACTTTTTTTACTTTTGAGACTGATCGGTGACCGATGGCCCTCTTGAAGTTAAATACATGTAGTTAAGAATTGTTATCTCTTACTTAAAAAAATAATTGAGAGTCCTCTCTCAAATTTGATTTGTGGGTTCCCCTTGGTCTTTAGTTCTGCACTTTTTAGACTGAATGGAAAATCAAAATGGCTGACAGGTGGCCATTTTGTTGGCTCTATTTCTGAGATAATACTCAGATGGATCATTCTCAAATTTTACATGTATGTTCCCCATGTTAAAAATACCCCTAGCCCTAATTAGAAATGTATTCCTCATTGACAGCATCTCTTTACTATGTAAGAATTACAAAATTTTAGTGTTTTTTTATATGGTTATGCAATTCCTTTGTGATTAGAACCTGTACAGAAATTGAAGAGCAAAGAAGGTCAAAACTTATCTTTTGTAAATCTGTTAAAAACAAAATGTCATTGTGTGGGCTCCAAGATCCTTCTAGGATCTCTTGTTACATTTGTTTCTACAAAGTAAAATATAATAGGTGCTTCACAAACCAAATCTCTACCAAACTTCCATCTTACCTATCTTGTCATGAATATTAAGTTTTTAGCTCACCATCATCAGATAGTGGGCTATTCAAATCACCATCATTTTATCCGTAAAACAATCCTTGTTAGCGTTATTTATCAGGAAGGACTGGGGAGGGATTTTTCTCGTAGGAATGTTCCCTAGTTGATTTTTGGAACTGATCAGAAAACAAAGATGGCCGACTTTTGTTAGGATCCATCCAAATAAGCTATGCTAGCCAAATACCATTGACTCCAGGCCTTTTCATTTCTTTCAATGAAGTCATTTCAAGAAAAAGTTGATGAAAAACGATCCACCACAGCAGAAGCTCACTGGTGAAAATAACCTCAATATTACTCATCCGTTTTTCATTGCAAATTTTTAAATACATGTAGCCTATATATCATTACTCTTCATAATATGGATCTTTGCCCTCAATTCTCCAGTTATTTATCATGACCCTATAGGTTCTCCAGCTGTTTATCATGATTCTCGAGTTGTTTATCATGACCCTAGGTTCTCCAGTTGTTTATCATGACCCTAGGTTCTCCAGTTATTTATCATGACCCTAGGTTCTCCAGTTATTTATCATGACACTAGGGTCTCCAGCTGTTTATCATGACTCTAGGGTCTCCAGTTGTTTATCATGACCCTAGGTTCTCCAGTTGTTTATCATGACTCTAGGGTCTCCAGTTGTTTATCATGACCCTAGGTTCTCCAGTTATTTATCATGACTCTAGGTTCTCCAGTTGTTTATCATGACCCTAGGTTCTCCAGTTATTTATCATGACTATAGGGTCTCCAGTTGTTTATCATGACCCTAGGTTCTCCAGTTATTTATCATGATATTAGGGTCTCCAGCTGTTTATCATGACCCTAGGTTCTCCAGCTGTTTATCATGACCCTAGGTTCTCCACTTGTTTATCATTACACTAGGGTCTCCAGTTGTTTATCATGACACTAGGGTCTCCAGCTGTTTATCATGACCCTAGGTTCTCCAGTTGTTTATCATGACCCTAGGTTCTCCAGTTATTTATCATGACTCTAGGGTCTCCAGTTGTTTATCATGACCCTAGGTTCTCCAGTTATTTATCATGACTCTAGGGTCTCCAGTTGTTTATCATGACCCTAGGTTCTCCAGTTATTTATCATGACTCTAGGGTCTCCAGTTGTTTATCATGACCCTAGGTTCTCCAGTTATTTATCATGACTCTAGGGTCTCCAGTTGTTTATCATGACCCTAGGTTCTCCAGTTATTTATCATGACTCTAGGGTCTCCAGTTGTTTATCATGACCCTAGGTTCTCCAGTTATTTATAATGACACTAGGGTCTCCAGTTGTTTATCATGACCCTAGGTTCTCCAGTTATTTATCATGACTCTAGGGTCTCCAGTTGTTTAACATGACCCTAGATTCTCCAGTTGTTTATCATGACCATAGGGTCTCCAGCTGTTTATCATGACTCTAGGTTCTCCAGCTGTTTATAATGACTCTAGGGTCTCCAGTTGTTTATCATGACCCTAGGTTCTCCAGCTGTTTATCATGACCCTAGGGTCTCCAGCTGTTTATCATGACCCTAGGTTCTCCAGTTGTTTATCATGTCTCTAGGTTCTCCAGTTGTTTATCATGTCTCTAGATTCTCTAGTTGTTTATCATGCCCCTAGGTTCTCCAGTTGTTTATCACGACCCTAGGTTCTCCAGCTGTTTATCATGACCCTAGGGTCTCCAGCTGTTTATCCTGACCCTAGGTTCTCCAGTTGTTTATCCTGACCCTAGGGTCTCCAGCTGTTAAGAAGTTGATCAAAGAAAAGTTGACCGATGGAAGACGGACAGCAGATGACACACCATACCCCAAGATCACCGGCACTTCTTGCCAGACAAGCTCAAGATTAAACAAGAGGCCCAGAGGGCCTGAATCGCTCACCTGAATATTTAAGCAGTCAAAGCAAAATATTCTCATTAAATATTTTATTGCACTAAAAATGTTTCCCTGGCAAACTTTGTCGGCTCCATCTGTTGAAACTGCCAGCCAAATATTATTATAAGATTCTATGCTTTATTGCTTCTTCTTCGGAAATTGCTTGACATATTTTTCCCTGTGACCTTGTAAGTAGGTCAATGTCATTTTCCTTCTCAAAATTGGTTAGCTCTATTCCAAAAAGCTACCAGCCAAATCTTATGAATACATTCCTTTTAGTTCTTAAGAACAAATCCTTTAAAATGTTGTTGACCTCTGAAGTTGGTTGAGGTCATTTCATTAGCAAACTTTGGTGAGCTCTATCCCAGAAGTCACCAGCCAAATATTATGCCTTTTAATTCTTCTTAAGAAGTCGTTTGAACCGCCTGACATATTTGAACGCTGTGACCTTTAAAGTAAGTCAAGGTCATTTTCATTCGCAAAATTTGTTTGGCTCTATCCCAGGAAGCCACCAGCCAAATATAAGGATTCTATACCTTTCAGTTCTTCAGAAGTCGTTTTAAGTGTTTAGCACATTTGACCCGTGACCTTGAAAGGTAAAGGTCATTTTCGTTCTAAAACATTGTCAGGCTCTTTCCCAGGAAGTCATCAATCAAATATAAAGATTCTATACCTTTTAGAATAGTTCTTCAGAAGAACATGTTTGAAGCATTAGACGTATCCGACTCATGTGACCTTGAAAGTAGATCGGACTAATTTTCATTTTCCAACTTTGTTGGGCTCTATCCCAGGAAGCCACCAGCCAAATATGAAGATTCTACACCTTTCAGTTCTTCTTCTGAAGTCGTTTGACACATTTGACCCCTGTGACCTTCAAAGATATTCATACACCTGTTTGACCCGTGACCTTGAAAGTAGGTCAAGGTCATTTTTGTTCTCAAACTTTGACGGGCTCCTACCAACAAAGCTTTCAGCCAAATATCATAAGTAGGTCTGTCCGTTCTTCAGAAGTTGTTTAAAGGAAAAGTTGACGATCGAGGACGGACGCCGCACCCAGACATAAATGCACGATGTTAATTTTTTAAGATCCAATTATAATTTTTTGGGAATTTGTCAAACCAGACAATTTTAATCAATCACTGGCCGGCCCATCATCTTGATTAAGTAAAACCACACTGGTTTCCTTTAAAATCAAAGATAAGTGGGACTAAAATGATCTCTATTAATTGTAGAGATGGTAGTACACAGAATTAAAGGTGAGAAATATATGAATTCTGATGGTACTCTAAAGTTTTGGCTTAAAGTATTTGTTTGACCATTTTGTAGCCAGATACTTTGATAAATTCCTATTTAACTACCAAATTGAATACAAGTAAACCTACAGCTCTTTACTTTTTATAAATCTGTTTCGCTTGGTTTACCGATATATTTGCCTTGCCACGACTTATGAGGTTTTTCCCTATCCTGTCAGTGTTTTAGAAGATGTATTTGAATTTTTACAAAATTACTAGAGGCGTCACGATTCACTTGTACCGCGATTATTTATGTTCGATTCACGATATATTTTTCTGGGTTTTCGATAAGTCAGAATCTGAATATTAGTGTATGCGGCTTCAGCCGAAACGTCTGCGTGACGTTCAATTTCATTGGCTGATCTCTAAACCCTCAGCCAATCGGCTACGAGGATACAATTTTCACAAAGTTTTCATAACAAAATGGCGGACCGGCGTAAGGCAATGAAAATTTGTGATGCTCCGGCAAGCTTCAAATCAAAAGTGTGGAAACACTTCGGGTTCCCGTGTATCGACGGCTTATATATCTCGTTTTGTTTATATTTTGAAATAAAGGTGTATCAATTCAAAATAATCGAATCGTTATATCGAGATACGTATCGAGTCGTGGGTAAAGTGTATCGTGACAGCTCTTAAAAATTCCCTCAGTCATCTTGCCATCCCGCACTTCAACACTTGTAATTATTGGAACCTGACTGTACTTCAACTTGTTGACACAGAGAGAAAACACGGGAGAGATACTGGGCTTTTTTTAATTTATTAAGACAGCAATTTGCAGTGAAATAAAAAAATGTTATTAGTCAAAGAGACCAAAGCCCATGTCATCATCCGACTCTTCTGATTCTTCCTTCTTTTCTTCTTTTTTCTCTGAAAATACAAAAAACATGAACATGAAAATACACCAAAAAACCCATTGGAACAATTCCTCAATAAATAATACCAAAACAAATAATTCTGAAAAAGACCCAACAGGCCTTATAGGACTCCACTGTTTCTCATGACATCACCTGTGACCTTTGACGATGGTGAAGGTGAAATTATTTAAATACTATTACTCGGAAAATTAAGGATGGAATGTTATGTAACCCTACACCTTCCATGCCCTTCCTTGTCATAGATTTTAACAAGCTCTTCATTTCAGCATCTACAGACCAAATTTCTTAACCCTTGGCCTTTTAACAATCCCAAAAAGTCAGTTAAAAGTTTTCGCACATTAGACCCATGTCCTGTAGAAAAGCCAGCAAGCAATTATAGCCAAAAAGAGTTCATCACATTTGACCCATGAAAGCAGGTCTAAGTCCTATATATAAACAAACATCCTTTCATCCCAGTACCCTAAAACCAAAAATACTATCATCAACTTTGGCCTTTTGGTTATTTGGAGAAAGTTGTTAATGTTGAACAAATTTGACCCATGACCTTGAAAGCAGGTCAATGTCTTTTATTTGAACAAAATATGTAGCCCTCCAGCCCAACATCACCCAAGGTCTCCTATACAGATGTTAAGGTTTTAACATATTTAATTCTGTTCTTGAAAGTGGGTTGTGATCATTTATTTGAACAATTTTGATAACCCTTCAACCAAGCATGCTCTACTCCTATTGGTTAATGCAAAGTTAAAGTACAAATGAAATGTTGACAGATGGACAATGGATCCAACATTCCATGGCATAAGAATGCTTGACCCTAGGCCTCTGGCCAGAGGAGTTGACAAAAAGAATACCATCTATTTGAACAAACTTGTTTGCCCTTCTTCCAAAGCCTGCTATGTGCTTAATAGTAATACCCTTAGCTTCTTTGTTATTACAACAGGTTATTTAAAGTTTTTTCTTGCAAGCTAAAAATCTTAATTCTCACTTAAATCTTTCATGGGAAAACTGTTGTTACTGTTGTAGACTTATCATTTCTAAGGTAAATGGGAATCCATGTAATTCTATGGAAAGGAAAACACTACTTATTTATTTCTACATAATTTTAACATTGTCTAAGGTATCACCGATTGTTATTGTAATCAAGGAATCAATGATTATTGTTATGGTAACCAAGGAGTCGCAGATACTTTTTGTGTTATCATCAGGAATCACAGATGATTGCCATTTCAGTATACGGGTTGACTATACCACTTACCTTCCTTTGCCGCAGCAGGTGCAGCTGCTGCAGATGCCCCGGCGGCGGCGGCTCCACCACCTGATGGTACAGAGGCAAGCTTTGTAGTTCCTGAAACAAAATAACCAATTAATACTGAAGTTCAATCAAACTTATAAGATAGAAAATATCAACAGAAACACATATACAGTAAAACCTCAATAAAATGCCTGTCACTTCAGTTGCCACCTCGCTTATCGCCAACATATTACAAGGTCCCTTAATTCTGTTTCTGAATTCTTAATTTGTATTAAAGAATTCCTTTATACATTTCCCTCAATTTATTGCCAACCCCCTTCATAATGCCAACATTTCTTTGAACAAATGGTGGCAATATAACAAGGTTTTGCTGCACCATAATACATTTCAAGACAGTGTGAAATAGTCAACAGCCTATTGATGGTAGTGATCCAACACATGTTTTTCAGGCCAAAACGATGTCCTCTGTAGTTTACCCTTCGGCTGCTACATTGATTTCTATGTAAAGGGACGCCACTGCTGAATTAATTATTGAAATATTAATTAATTTACTTAATTTTTCAAATGCGCATAACTTGAAAAATATATGTTATATGTGAATAAAAGTTTTAGGAAAATTGTTCGTTATGGTCTCTAGTTTATATTAACGTTTTCGATTCTAAAGTTGCTTTAGTATTTACCTGTACAGGTGGTAATAAAGGTAAGAAAAGGTTTGACTTTTAATTAATCGGATTTAAGCACCAGAAAGATCATTTTAAAATTGTTTTTGTTAGCAAATGTGATTGGCAAATGATAACAAAGATTATAAACTTCATTAATGACATTATACTTCATTATATGTACTAGTTAACCCTTAGGCTACTACGCGCCACTATAGTGGTTTCGAAAAGTCGGTCCGTCAGTGCTGCGCACGACAATAGTGGCGCTCGGTCTGTAGGTTTTTGATCAGTAAACAGGAAGTGTGAAAGCGGACTGTTGCTGTACCAAACCCGAAAGCGTATAGTAGAAGGCTTCTGATTGGTTGTTTTGTCATTACTTTCGATATTCCCGGCAATGTACTCTAGTAATAACCAAAGTGTGCAAGAGAATATCAAATCAGAAAAAACGTCAAAAAAATGGCGGACGTGTAGATTGAAGTGATGAATATGATGGTAAACATTTATTCTCCAGGGTCGCCTACGGTGATAATAAAGGTTTTGACATGGTTGATGTGGATATACTTCGGTATAACATAATGTAACTTTCCAACGAACGGCTTTGTGCCCTAAGCAAACATGAAAATATATCGGCGGACCGAGGCGCACATGTCGTCTGCAGGTGAGGTCGAATTGAACATTGACATATGTTTTGAGCCGATTGATTTCTTTAAACTATATATCTATGATTTAATCATAAACTAGACCGTAGCTAAGATATATCTATATGCCGACTGTGACAGTAAATATATTGAACGACGACCTGAAACCTGTAGCAAATCGCATGCAATTTTTGATGAAATACCCGACCTTTTTACCTGAGAATCTCGGTGTAAATGTACAGTGTCTTATGTCATAAATAAAGTTTATAATCTCTGTTATCATTTGCCAATCACATTTGCCGACAAAAATAATTTTAAAATGATCTTTCTGGTGTTGAAATACTGAAGCAACTTTAGAATCGAAAAAGCGTTAATATAAACTAGAGACAATAACGAACAATTTTCCTGTAACTTAAATTCACATATAACAAATATTTTTCAAGTTATGCTAATTTGAAAAATCAAGTAAATTAATTTATATTTCAATAATCAATTCAGCAGTGGCGTCCCTTTACATAGAAATCAATGTCTAAGGGTTAAGTCTTCTTAATATTAATTTGTACAAATGCAAGAAATTTGTTACCTGCAGCAACAAGTTCTTCAAGGCTCTTTCCCTTCAATTCAGATATGATCTTTTTGACCTTGTCGGCCTCAACCTCAATGCCAACAGACCCAATGATCTTCTCGAGGTCAGCTGCGGAGGGATTTTCATTTCCTCCAAGGCTTGCAAGCAAATAGGCTGCTACGTAACGCATGCTGGAAGTATACAACAATCAATGTTAAGAATTTAAAAGCTATTAGGAAATATACTAGTTCAATCTGATCATAAATAGCACAAAAGTGGTTGCTTGTGGTCAAGCAAGGAAAGGGGATGGCAAACCTGGATCCAATGGTTAGTGTTTAAACATATCTACAGTAAATCTCTGGTCAGATCCCCAAAAAAATAACATATTTTCAATTCCACAAAGTTAAAGCCACTAAAATAAACCAATGAATAGTCAGGTGACCTAATAAAAAAAGTAGTTCAAATATGGGCAATTAGCCAGTAACCTGGCTCAGACACCAGATTTATTTATCCAAAACTGTCCTTATCATCACCAACCACTGCTAGATTCTGTCAGCAGAGTCCTTGGTATTAAATTTGTCAAACTTTCCCATCTCAGCTGCACCGATTTGTAGATTAAAGCAAATTTCACCAGAGTGACTTTAATCAACCGTACTGATCCAGACCAAAACTGAATACATTTTGTTCTATTTAGAAAAATTCTGAACACCTTTTGTTTTGTTGGTTAGTAAGTTGTAAAGAGCATCTCAGGTGCGAAATTTTGAATGATTGAACACAGCAGTTATTATAATAAGAACAGTTCCGGATCAATAAATCACTTTAATCGATATATGTTGTGTCATAGTAGATTTATGTTGTCTGATAACAAAAACTGTCTGATAATTCCACGTGCACAATTGTACCGAATTATAAATTACGTGCACAATTGTACCCAATTGTATGACTTATCGCATTATGTTGAAAGAATCACACGCCCTTTTTGTTCAGAATGTTTAAAAGAACTTCGTGTTTTTATTTACAATTTAATCCATATTTCATTAATATATTTTGACTGATCAAAATGCAGAATTAGTACCCATAAGCTTACGAGCCGTTTTGCCCAACTTGTTGCAAGACAATTTATTTTCCAATCAAGGGTCCTGACGGGCATTTATAAAACAGTAACAATGGACTAATGCAACAGAAATGACTACATAGCATGGTTCATATTTCTCAACTAAACATTATGTTACAAGTTACAATTCAAAGTATTTGATAGATTGGGTGTCACTGAAATTGAAGGCATGGCGGAAACGAGTTGAATGGAACACCACGTGGTTGAGACGAATAGAATTAGAAATTGTCGAAATGGTGGTTGTAACATTTTGATATGATTATATATTAGCCTCTACACGATAGTTAGGATCATAATAAATATTTATCCATAATTACACACCGTTTAGTGTTTTAATTAATCTTACATTTAAGTCTTTCTGACACGAAACGTAGGACCAACCAAAGTCGATGTTCAACAATGTGAAAAGGAAGTTTCTACGAGGAATTCTGGGAAATATAGAAAAAAAAATGTAAATTTGTCGAAAATCTTGCCGAAAATCATAACTTTATGTTTCTTTCTAAAACAAAAATGAAATGTACTGTATTATTTAAAACCAATCAAACTACCAATTAATTAATATTTATTTTATAAAGGTCATGGTCATCAAAATAATTTGTGACGCTTTATGCAAATATGCTTTTCATGAAAGCGTTTGGCTGATCTGGAAGAGCACTTTGTTTAAGATGGCCGATAGACTCACTCAGTTGCAAGATGCTGTTAATCAGGTTTGTTGTCAATTTTAATTAGAGTGAAAGAACGAATCTAGCCAAAGACACAACATACAGACACGTTTAGTTGCTTCTTAATGTCCGAGTCGTTTACATACTGTCAACCATGGTTCGATATGACACGCTTAGTAGGGGGAACGACGGTAACGGGTTGTTTCGCCCCAAATCCCATCCACCCTAGGTTGTTTCGCCCTTAAAATATCTCTTTCTTTAGTTTTAGTCAAAAATATCGTGTTAAAAGTTAAAAAAAACACTTATCTTTCTCTTGAATCAAGATATAATCATGTCGGTACTGTTAAAACTTCTCAAAATGATCTCCAATTAGCAAAAAACAACACAGACGTGCGCAGAAATCAAGTATCTGGTACCCTAAGAAAATATCGTCACGCGGCGACGATTATGTGTACACTAGACTAAATGTGTTGACATGGAAAAATTATATTGTTGTATTCCCCGCAGTGTTATTAAAATTAAAAAAAAAATATTTCATTTCACTATTCTTATTTATTTCTAAAATTAAATTCAATATATGTTATAATGTGTGTCGGCGTGAAGAAAATAACGTATTCCGTTTTTTGCTTTACAATGTACTTAAAACAACACAAACACATTTTTTTGAAATAAATCTGATTTTAATGATATGATATAATACTAAGAAGACTTAATTTGTGACTTAAAACAAATAAAAATGAAAAGAAAATACCAAACAATGTTTCGCCCTAAAAAAAAGTGTTAGGGCGAACGGGATTTGGGTCGGGCACGACGATTTACCCAAAACTACCCAAAAATATAAACAGGTTGGGGAAAACCATCAACTTGCGTATAATATGCAAACTCGCCTATTATATGCCAGTTAGAGTATGGATTTGTTACTAAAAATAACCCAAATAGCTTTAACAGTAACTTTTGCACGATATTATTAAAAGTTGCATTAATTTACAACAAGGTAAAAAATATTTTGCTAAAAGATGTTTACTGAAAGCGTTGGCTACTTAGAAACTTTATGTATCTTTACCGGAAATATTGCATCTATTTATAGTATGCAAATAAAGTTTATTTTTGCATTTGTATTATGTTTCATGACTGAATAAATGCGACTTTGACAAACAATTTGAAAAAGTTAAGATTAAAGTTATTTTGGCTATTTTTAGTAACAAATCCATACCCCTATTGGCGTATAATAGGCGAGTTTGCGTATTACGCAAGTTAGTGGTTTTCCCCGACCTGATAAAAATTTGAACTTTGAAATGCAATTTTATGTCTAGATTACCATGAAGTATGGCTCCGACATGCGGAAACTGAGACAAAAAATATGCATAACTCAACTGTGACAAAATCAATATAAATATTCTAAGATATACATAAATACTACAAAGAACGTACAATTTAGGATGAAAAAGATCAGTACAATATATAAATAGTCGTACTTTGAAATGCAATTTCATGTCCAGATAACCATGAAGTATGGCTCCGACACGCAGAAACTGAGACAATTTTTTTTGACTATATATGTTATCAAGGAAGGGATTGTCCACTACAATTTAATTTAAAATACGAAATTTTCTTCATTACTTTTATTGATCCAAGTATCTCTCGAAAGTTGAAAAGATTTGAAATTTGTGTGTATTGTGGGTCAACAAAATCTGGTAATCGGTGTTGTTTGAAGTTGGCTACTTGTTCTAGTCTGTTGTTTATTATCCCCCGCTTTCACCGAAACGGGGGATATTAATATGGGTCTGTCCGTCTGTCTGTTTTCAAACTTGGTTCGATTTTGATGAAAATTGCTATATAGGGATATAAGGGAACTGCAAATTCAACCGCATCGGTTTCGTTGCCATAGCTACCACACGGAGGCTTCTGATTGGTCGAAATTAAGATATTGTTCAATTTTGATGAAAATTTGTATATAGGGATATAAGGGGACTGCAAATTCAACCGCATATGTTTCGTTGCCATAGCAACCATACCCTCTTCAGCAAAAATGATACTAGAAATGCTTTGTCTGTCTTTCAGAGATGTACTGTGCTTTTCAAGGTACTTATTTAAAGGGGCTTGTCGGGGAAAAAAATTATATTTGCTAAAATGGCATACACATGTTTAAAATACCTTCTTATGAAATATACCGATACAAATTTTGCTGAAATTCACTCCCTAAGAGTAAAAATTATAATTATATTAAAGAAATCCTAAATCGCCCCCTGACAGTCTAAAACTCTCAATTGACCCAGATCAGTGATGTAATTTTACCGCACGCGCATCATTAGTCCGAATTATTCTGACGTTTTATCGACTTTTTTCATATCGGTCTGTCGTCGATTAACGTCAGAACTCCGGCCCTCTATAATATGCGGGAATTATGTGCCCCGCGCCCGGAGCGCACTTCAAACTGATATTTTAGAAACAATTCGTCACTTTCACACACATGTCGCACATGGATCGAAAGATCTATTCTTTATGCACAAGGTGAACATACATAACATGCCTCAAACAACTAATACAATCACTAAAAACATATTTTTTCAAACTTACTCTGTTTTACTCTAGTTTTTTGATAGCCCCGCCTTCCAATGCCACGTGACTAAAATCTCGCCGGCCTACGTCATAACGTTAGGAAATACCTTGGTAACGCGAGATCTCTCCAAGTCATGTGACATTTCTCATGGCCTAATTTCCATAAAAAACATGGGTTGGTATAGAAAACGTTGGATAATGCTTTTCGTAATGATCTTTGAAACATGTTATTGATACCACCTAGTGCATAAAGAATAGATCTTTCGATCCATGTGCGACATGTGTGTGAAAGTGACGATTTGTTTCTAAAATATCAGTTTGAAGTGCGCTCCGGGCGCGGGGCACATAATTCCCGCATATTATAGAGGGCCGGAGTTCTGACGTTAATCGACGACAGACCGATATGAAAAAAGTCGATAAAACGTCAGAATAATTCGGACTAGCGCGTCATCAACAAGGCCAATTTTACTATCGGGTACTGAGGTAATAGGGACTCATGCTGACCTATTTTACTATCGGGTACTGAGGTAATAGGGACACATGCTGACCTATTGTACTATCGAGTACTGAGGTAATAGGGACACATGCTGACCTATTGTACTATTGGGTACTGAGGTAATGGGGACACATGCTGACCTATTGTACTATAGGTACTGAGGTAATAGGGACACACGCTGACCTATTGTACTATCGGGTACTGAGGTAATGGGGATACATGCTGACCTCTTGTACTATCGGGTACTGAGGTAATGTGGACACATGCTGACCTATTTTACTATCGGGTACTGAGGTAATAGGGACTCATGCTGCCCTATTTTACTATCGGGTACTGAGGTAATAGGGACTCATGCTGACCTATTTTACTATCGGGTACTGAGTTAATGGGGACACATGCTGACCTATTGTACTATAGGTACTGAGGTAATGGGGACACATGCTGACCTATTATACTATCGGGTACTGAGGTAATAGGGACTCATGCTGACCTATTTTACTATCGGGTACTGAGGTAATGGGGACACATGCTGACCTATTTTACTATCGGGTACTGAGGTAATAGGGACTCATGCTGACCTATTTTACTATCGGGTACTGAGGTAATGGGGACACATGCTGACCTATTGTACTATCAGGTACCGAGGTAATGGGTACCCAGGCTGACCTATTGTACTATCGGGTACTGGGGTAATAGCGACACATGCTGTCCTATTGTACTATCAGGTACCGAGGGAATGGGGACCCAGGCTGACCTATTGTACTATTGGGTAATGAGGTAATGGGGACACATGCTGACCGATTTTACTATCGGGTACTGAGGAAATAGGGACACATGCTGACCTATTGTACTATAGGTACTGAGGTAATAGGGACCCATGCTGACCTATTGTACTATTGGGTACTGAGGTAATGGGGACACATGCTGACGGGAAATGTGCAACAATGGAAGCTAAGTCACCTAAGAAGTTCAATTCATCTAAACAATAATCTTCTATTTCACAACTCACCCATTTGGTCAACAATTTTATCGACGTGCATATGAGATAAATATGCCCAGTAAGAGATTGTTTGTTTACATTCGTCCTACATATAAGTACACTATATAGCCAAACTGCCTTGCCAGTGGTCCAGTACCTGATTGACTAATATAATAACACAACTTTTGTTGATTTTGTGAAACTCAAACGTTGTATTTTTTGTCCTTATATGGCACAGGTGTGACTTAATCAAAAACTGTGCCAAAAAATCTTGACTTTTTAATTTATACAAACAGCATGTGAACAGTACTTAAAAACTACAGCAATTGTTAGCGGGAATCACACCAAAACGCAAGGTGCTATCAGAGACTTAAATACTACAATGTATATATGTCTAGTCCTATAAACAACCAAGGTTGTAAGTTATTTACCTGAGGACAGTTCAGTTAAATGAAGAACTGTTTTAACCTTTTCACAAAACTTGAGTGCCCGCAGGATGGGATTCAAGATGTGAAAATGTATTGACATTTGACTTTTTCTGTATCTACATTTGAAAAAAACGACGATTTTTTGTGTATATTTGCATTTAATTATACAAGGTTTCAATTTTGTTCAATCCATTTTTATCAATATTCCCATCTGTGTGCCAGTTATTACATTTCTTTTAAACTTAAGGAATGAAAAAAGGGCATCATTCAATCAACATATATTTTTTTTTAAGAATAAAACCTGCAAAAAATGTGCCCATTAAAAGCCCTCAAATTGGCCTAGATAATCACTGTATATAGAATGGACCCGTTTCTATCTATGATGTGTTGTATTTGACAGCTTGCTGATCAGTTCTGTAACAGCGTCGGGATACTCCAGCAGTGCTCACCACCTAGTACTTTTGCAGGCTTTGAAAAACAGCTTGGGAAGTCACCAACTGATACACAAGAAGGTAAAATGTGCTCCCCTTTTTGCCATGAAACCCTCATGCATTAGTAAGACTGCTCTGTTCACTAAGAAAGTACCAAAGGGATATTTCTCAAACACAGTAGCTTGGTTCCAGTAGATGGCAATATTGACATTTACAAAAATAAAGTTTATTACGCTATCATGGTCCTTTGGATTTTGTTACTGAAATTTTGTTTTCACTATATTTCTCAAGAACCACTAGTTCAAGGACCTTTTTCAAATTTAGAAGTAGAAGGATTCTTTTATTCCTTAGTTGTGGAGATTTAATGGTGAGACAAATCAAAAGAACAGCCATCTTGGATTTGGACAGTTACAGTGTGTTTTTTATATTTCTCAGAAAGCTCTAGAGTCTTTTCTCAAATATCACAAGGAAGTTCCTCTCAGTCCTTAGTTGAACATGTTTCACTATGAAACTCTTAATTTGGGAAAAAAACAAGATAAATAGCAGCCTCGTTGCCATCTTGGAACGGTTTAGTTTGTTATTGCTAATTTTAAGACAGAACTAGGGGGAGCTTTCTTAGAGTTCCTAATTTCTCTTAGATCTTATTTGTGCATGTTTCACTTTTAGCTTGACAGAGAGAGAAAAATATCAGCTATGCAAACATCTTGAATTTGCCAATTGAAGTTAGTTATGGCTGTTTCTGAGAAAGTAAAATACTGATATATCTCAAATTTCATAAGAAATATTCATTCTGTTCGCTGCTTTTTCACATTTATTTTAAGGTCACCTGAGACAAAGTCTCAAGTGACCTATTGCGATCGCCTTTTGTCCGTCGTCGTGCGTCCGTAAACAATTTACATTTTCGACTTCTTCTCCAAAACCACTGAACCAATTTCAATGAAATTTTGCAGGAACCTTCCATGGACAAAGGTCAACAAAAACAGTTGCCGGTTTAGTCCCAAGCCCCCAGGGGCCTGAGGGGCGGGGCCAAAAAGGGTCAAATTGACTAAAATTTCAAAAATCTTCTTCTCAAGACCCAGATATGGTAGAATCAAATACTCTTCATAGATGGAAGGGTCTTAAGGTGCTTTACC